GCTTGAATGAGGAGAATAATTGCACAAGGAAAACTCCTTCTCATGGTATATCAGCCCTCAGCAGCATGGCTCCCAAGAATGGTATTTTCTTTTTTTATACATAATTTTTTTTAATTTACTTATTTTGAGAGAGAGAGAGAGAGAGAGAGAGAATCCCAAGCAGGCCCTGTGCTTTCAGCCCAGAGCCCAATGTGGGCCTCGATCCCATGAACTGTGAGATCATAACCTGAGCCAAAATCAAGAGTCGGTCACTTAACCGACTAAGCTACCCAGGTACCCTCCAAGAATGCCATCTTCAAGGGCACTCCTTTAGGGACTCAGAGGAAAGTGCGCAGGGTCTGAGCACAGACAGCAACAACTGAGCTCAATGAGGCACGCCAGAGGGTCAAGCAATCCCAAAGGGCAGCACATCAGGAAAAGTGAAGGGAATGTGGGACCTGTCTGCTTTTGGGTGGTAGGAGGGGACTTCCCCCCACTCTTTATAATGTCCAAATTTCCTAAAATAAACAGGTGTTACCTTTATACTAAAAAATGTTTTTAAAACTTCAATTTTTAAGAAAGGTAGAAAATAAACTGGATAAGCCTAACGAATGAACAAAGGAGAGAGATCTAGGCACAGGTCAAAGGATTCGGTCCCCAAGGCATGGTGATAACAAGCAGAGGATCCAATCTTAGAGATAGGTATCTGAAAAGACACAGTATCCCAGGGTCCGCCATCACTCACTCGTTCAACAAACATTTACTGATGCCAGGCTCTGTGCTGGCTGCTAGATTTACAGAGAATGAGGTGGCCACCATCTGAGCCAGTAACTCACAACCTGGCTACACACTGGAATCACTGGAAATGTGATTTTTAAAAAGCACACTGCCGCCTGGGGCCACATTCTAGAAATTCTGATGTCCTTGGTCAGGGTGAAGGCTTGGTTTCAGGACTTTCGTTTTTATTTTTTTAAGTTCTTAAAATTTATTTTGAGAGAGAGAGAGAGAGAGAGAGAGCATGGGCAGGGGAGGGGCAGAGAGACGGAGAGAGAGAATACCAAGCGGGACCCCTATGCAGGGCTCAAACACACAAACCGTGAGATCACGACCCGAGCAGAAATCAAGAGTTGGACGCTTAACCATCTGAGTCACCCAGGCACCCCGGTTTCAGGACTTTTAACAGCAACCCTGATTCTGACGTGCAGGGTTGAGAACCACTAGGACGACAGGACACTTAGGTTTAGTGTTGAACGAAGGGTAGGAGCCAGCCAGGAAGAAAAGGAGGAAAGGAGGGAGGGAGGGCACGTAGGCACGGGGAACAGGGCTGAATTTAGAGGACTGCCACATGGCTCAAATACAACTACAAAGTTATAGTGGGTGGGGGTGATGCAGATCATGGAGGTCTTCCCATGCCTAACCAAACATCCATCCTCCAAGTAGTAGGGAGTCAGTAAAAGTTACTAGACAGGGGCAGACATGGTCACCTCTGGGTTTAGAGAGCTATCACTTCTGCCTAGGGATGGGACTATAGAAAGGCTATGAAGAGGTGTGGGCTTTGCCTCCTTAGGAAATGGAACCACGGGGGCGCCTGGGTGGCTGAGTCGGTTAAGTGTCCAACTCTGGGTTCCGGCTCAGGTCATGATCTCAAGGTTCATGAGTTTGAGCCCCACATCAGGCTCACTGTACTGACAGTGCAGAGCCTGCTTGGGTTTCTCTCTCTCCCTCTCTCTTTCTGCCCCTCCCCTGCTCATTCTCTCTCTCTCTCTCTCTCAAAATAAATAAACTTTTTAAAAATCCTAAAAAGAAAGAAAGAAAGAAAGAAGAAAATGGCACCACCAGAGAGAGAGGGCTTATTTCTGGATTCTCCATCACAGGCAGCCTTCAATACAGCATTCGTCTAGAGATAAGACTCTTATTTCTACTGTCTTTTCAAAACCTCCTTTTTTTGTAACTTAATTTCATTACATGATCTTGCTGCAACACTGAGGATAAAATGCTAAGGGCCAGTGCAGTGCACTTGGAGACTCAGATGAAAATTTGGAGGTGAAACAGACTACCAATCGTGCCACAAGAAAGCAATGGGGCTGTCACCAAAGATCTCAGATGGAAAACCATTCCATGTGCTACTGCAGGGACAAATCACTAAATAACTCAATTGACCGGATCAGCATCCCTGACCATCTGTTTTTGGAGACTGGGTAAGTTGCAGAGACATTTCTAGAAATAAAAATGGTATCGGTTAATAGGTGGGACAATTGACAAGAGCCATTCCATCCTTCACGCACAGGAAATAAGTACCTTTCAAATGAATAACAGTAACAGCGAGCACTCCCTGAAGACCTGAGTATACAACTCAGGTACTAGGGCTTTCCATACACCATCTACGACATCCATGCAAGGTCTCCAGTTGGGCCAAGGAGATAACCAAGGCTCCGAGCGGTTCAGCCACCTTCCCAAAGTCACAAGTAAATGCAATGATAGAATTCAAACGAAGTTTTTATGACTTCCCTCTACCTCTTCTTCAGGTCCCTCATCTGCAGGCCAGGGGTTGAATCTGTGCTCATCTGTGTTCCAGAAAGAATGGCTTCTTGACAAGCTCATCAACTGCCGTAAGAGGCATTTTTCCCACTGTGTGTCTAACAAAAGCACCAAAAACTATCATGACTCTTTCCAAGGGAGAAATGCCAGCTTCGTCTTTGATCTGAGCAGCAAGGAAGCAACGCAGTCCCATCCAGTGAGCTGCTCTGACAGGGAGAGAATAACCCTTTGGAGACACCATGCACGCAAACAGCATGGCCCATGAATATCAATAATAAACACCCATAGCTGTGTACTTCCTTTGGCTCAAGGCTCCTCGCAGCATCTCAGGATACTGGAGCTGGATGACACCTTAGGGGTCACCTGCCACAACCCCAGCTTTCCAAAGATGAGAAAACAGGCTAGTTAACATATTTATCAAGAACCCTGGTCTCAGGCTCTCAGACTTGTGTTTTCTATTCTCAGTCACCCTGCAATCTCAGAGCCCAGGAGGAAACCCCATGGCTCCTATATCTCCTCATGAGAAATTGCGCTTTTCCCCCAGGGAAGCTGAAGAGAAATAAGGTTGCTTCCTTATCCTCTACCGCTAATTTGAAGGGCTCCCCCTACGTATCAGTGCCTCAGCACCGAGGGCAGTCCAGTCTGTTGCTGCCGGAAGTAGATATGGAGACGAAAGAGGGTCAAACACCCGGGCCCTTTCTGGTGCCTAAATCATTCCGTGACTGCAAACAATTTAGTAGGTATACAGGCGGTTTCTCAGAGCAAGGAATGCTCAGCCCATATAGAATGCTTATGCTGATCTATAATTTAAGAGAACCAAATAGCTTCTGTCACACTGTGGAGTGCCAGGGCTGGTGTCATTAATACACAATTACACACGAGCAGAGCCCTTCACCACATATCCGCCCTCTTAATAAATCACTTCATGCAAACCTGTGGTGTAGATGTCATTTTCATTCCATAAAAGGATTCACTATAGTGAGCCTTTAAAAGCTAGTTTTGTTTATGCATTTAATCTGCGATTCCATTTACAGAGATAATGATGGCCTCGCAACTTGTCAGACACACACCTTCTGAATAAAACAAGGCACTCTCCCCTGTCTCGGAATGCCATCCTCCATGCAGACCTATTTTGGGTGCATGAGAGTCATCGCTGAGGTGGAGTTTTATTTCAGGTGGAGTGGGATTTGGTAAGGACCAAAAGAAAGAAAAGGGAACCCATCGCTGAGCCACCAAAGTGAGACTGGGTGGCAGGAATATTGAGAGGGATCCTGACAATGCAAATTTCCTTCTCTCCGCACAAGGAAGTCTGTCTGTGACAGGAGGGTCGCAGTTCACCCACCACAAGTCTACACTTACAGGTTCAGGCACAGGAGGACGAAATGCCCCCGGTTCCCAGACACCTACAGGGAGGGACACAGCTCCCAGGTGGTGACTAGACCGCCCTTGGGGGCGCTCAACTCAATTCAGTAATGGACTACCCTCACGAGGTCCTAATCGGGCAAGGTCCTTGGTTGGGCAGAGACAGCCACCAATGTGTCCTTACAGGTAGGATGAGTCCAGCTGCTTCCAGAGGCCCCAGGTCGGGAAGTTTGCTGAGCCTCGCTCCTCGCCACCGCCCCCCCCCATGCCACATCTGACACTTCCCCTGTCACCCCCAAGCACCCCTGGGGGGTGCCACCTGACCCTATCCCTCCTCCCCTCCAGCTGATTCAGTCCTGGCACCCCCAGACTCTCCGTTCTTGGGCGGAATTCTGAGAAGAGGCAAAGGGCTAGACTTACCTAACTCCTCCGGGCTGTAGGGCTCGGGAGAGGCTTCCACAAACTCACTGTCTGGAGTAAGAGGGAAAAAAAAAAGACAAAACAGAAAACAAAAACAGAATCGCAATCACTGAGGGCAAATCGATCAAGCATCTGCTACCGCGCAGGTACCCTAGAAAAGCGCGGGTTTCCCTCTCGCAGAGATCGGAGCCCGTAAACCCGGGGGCCAGGCGGGGTTCGGTACACCGGATCCAAAGGGGGTAAGAAATTGCCAAAGAAACTTGCCGGGCCAATTCGTACCCGGGACCGCGCGCCTCCCAGGCTCGGGCAGGTGCGCGCCAACTTTCCGCGGGTGCGACCCCGCGGATCCCCGGGCCCGGCGCGCGGGGCCGCGACCTCATCCTGTCGCCCTCAGCCCGAGAGGCGCATTGCTGCGTCCCCCGGGCTCACGTCGACGCCCCGGCGCCGAGAAGCCCCAAAGTTTCGCGGCGGGTACCGGAGGCCCGCGGGCGCGCGGCGGCGGTGGCGGCGGCGAGCTCCCCGCGCCCACCAGGCCGGGCGCCCCGCGCGCATCCCCGCCGCCCGTTGCTAGGCGACCGTGGCCGTCACGCTCGGCAGCGGCGCGCGCGCTGCCTCCCAACTCCCTGTTGGAGGGTGTCCTCCCCCGCCCCCACCCCTTTGGCCGTTTATTAAAAACTGGAGCATAACCAGTTCTAAAACGATCCCTGCCTTCTTGTATTTCGTCTGCCCTACCCCGATGCTTGGGAAATCGTTTGTTCCGTGCTTCTCACGAGGAGATGCCGGATTTTCAGAGCTTGAATATGTCCTGCACCAGGGGAGAAGTAGCTTCGTGTGCCCCCAACCACTCCTTCCTTTTGAATAGGAATTCTAACTGCAGTTCAAACAGTATTTCCTCCCCTTAAGAGACCACCTGGTTCGAATGGTGAAGGTTAGTAGGTCTCCATTTCACAGGTAGTGAGACTGAGCCTCCGAAGTTAAGTAACTTAGGGATGACTGCACAGCACTGTGAGGTGTGTGTGTGTGTGTGTGTGTGACCGTCTAAGGAGAGCAGAGCAGAGCTGCTTCTACATAAAGAGTTGAGTGGTTTCAAATACAGAATGTAGATTCAGAAGTTATGGTCTCAGAGTCCATGTTGTAGGTCCTAAAGCAATTCATGTTAGATTGCAGGAACTTCCCTCTCCGTGTCACTGGCCTGAATAACTTGGGCAGATGCAGTTTGTATTTCCCCCCAGGACTTCCTGACTGCTCTGCCTGGGAGGGCCCTGGGCTTTGGGGATGTGCTCCAGAGAGCCAGCCCGCACGGATGCCAGAAGGAGTTAAGAGGAAAGAAGGAGAAAACTGAGAAAATGGTTGTCCCTTCTCCTGTCCCCGGCCTTGGAGACTGACAGTGGGAGTCCGCAGTCTGGGCAACCTCCTGGGAGCCGTCTACAGTCTCAGAGCAACCAGATCACCAGCTGCAGCAGCTGGAGGGCCCCTGGATCTGTGCCAGTGTGCTCTAATTCTATAAACACTCAGCCATCTCTGGGTTTTCCACTGTCAGCTTTTGGTTTACAAATTACCTGGGAGGACGGAAAGAAGCCACTGTGGCCAGCCTTGCTTGCGCAGGAATGCTGGAGCAGCAGGGTGGGGCTTCATCCATAAGCGGCCTGGCCTGTCTCTCTGTCCTCCTCTTTCCCCCCCCCTCCTGACAACGGGAGCTCCCAAGTGCATGAAGGGAACATGCTTGGGTGAATGTTTGCATGTGTCACTCCAAGCCCTCCCACTTCCTAGAATCCCCCCATCTGCCCTCAGGACTTCATGGCGCATCACCACCACTCCTACTTATTGCAGCCGTCTATAGACCCTTGGGTTATTCCAACTCATTCCTTGAAGATGTGGGTACTTGGATCACTGTCACTCTCCCCAATACCATTCCTGTTATAATTCTGATTTCTGAATCTACACAGTGGATTCTTCTTGTCCTCTGGTCTCTCAGCTCTTCAGCGTCCTCTTCCTTTCCTTGACTTCGTCCAACTCTCCAGGCTCCCTGCTCTCACAATGACATCATCCATAATTTCGATGTCAAACATTCTACCCTCCACCCACCACCTCCTACTTTTCCAGTCTACCCTGTTATCTTAATCCAATGGCTCTCTGACCTTAGCAGCACCTATGATTTGCTTATCTCATGACATCTCTTCCCCCCACCTCTCTCCCCAACTCCCGCCAGTTCTCAGCTGCCCTTTACGACGAAATTCATCAAAAGAATTGTCTACACTCATTGTGTCCACTTCTTCCTTTTGTTTTTAAAGGCAAACAAACTTCTGTTCATCACTCTTCCAAAGTAGCTCTTGCCGTGGTCAAGACTGGCTTTGCTATTGCCAATTCCAGTGGTTCTAATAGCAACTGTTGATCCACCGATCCCGTGTGTGGATGGACTCGTGTAGACTGTCTGCGGGATTAGTCTCCTCCCTCTCCTCATCTTATTGAGAAGCAATTAGTCTTTGTGTTGTAAGGGAGGCCATCTATGAGTGCTTTGGGGTCCGCCAGACCTTGGTTCTAATATCTGTTCTGCTACTAATTAGTAGTTTCATTTCTGCAAGCTTCAGTTCCTTTAAAAATGGAGACAATAATCATACTTAACTCATAAGGTTGTGTTCAGAGTGCAGTCAACTAATGCACGTAGACCCCCCCCAGAAGAGAGACTGTCACATTGTGAAAATCAGGTAAAATTAGTTATTATGGGATGGCCAGTTCCTTTACAGCTGAGAAAAAAATGGGCTCTTTTCTTTCTTTTAACAACTTTGAGTTACTGAAAGGAGTCACCAGCCACAGAATATGCTTCAAATTAAGGGCAATGTCACATTGCCCTGACTTTTGGTTGTGTTCTAAAAGAATTGGCTTGGAGATTGGTTACATGGAGTTGGGAGAAGGTTTTCCCCAAGGGAAGAGCAATACAAATGTTCTACTTGACGACTGGGTTCTGGAGCCTGCCAGATTGTTCTAACTCACAATGGTATCCCTTCAATTTGTACCTATAAATGGATGCCTTGTAAGCCAAAAAATTTCCTTATAGCACTTCAGTTATTTGAATTTCTTAATCACCCGAAGGTTAATGAGAAAATATTTTTCTTATTTCATCATTTGCTGTTGAAAACAATTAAATATATGATTCCAATTTCCTATCTTAGGAAGCAGAGCAGAACAAACAATAGTATTTCCTGTTCACCAAACAAACATTTATGGGGAATTTACCATACTTCCAGGACTGTGCTAAGCACTGCAGATACAAAGGTGGTCAGGACAGACTCCTGCCCTCCGGTCACTTACTGTCTAATAAGGGATTCCGTGACAGAGGATCTTACTGAACCTCAGGCAGTGTCCAACGTGCCTACCTAGGCTTGACCTTTACAGGCCTCTTACAAAGAAATGGTGCTGCTGGAGGGTCACTGATCTATAAAGGACAGTGCACAAGCTTATCAGTTGGAAGCTGAGCTCTGTCCATTTTTAGAAAGCACTCTCAGGATGATACTAAACCTCTCAGCACCTGGGTTTCCTGACAGTAGCAAAGTAGGTAAAGTATGAGACAGACCGCACAGTGTGCCTGGAACAGTGGATGCTTAGTAAGTGTTACTTCTCTCCCACATAGAGGGCCCGACCGTGCCAGAGTCCGCTAGGAGGAGAGTGATCCTTCTGTGCCGTGGCACCTGCAGACAGGAAGAAGGAGCTCTTCCTTCTGTTTCTGTGGCAGCATTTATTAGAGGGTGGGACATGTGGAGAGAAAGTGGCAGGGAGGAGATATTTCTGGGGCTCAGGGTGAACTATTTCTAGAACTCGGGTTTTCCATAGAAACAGATGACACAGCGGGCTAATAATGTCCACTATTACTATTGCTTGCTACATCATGAGTTGAATGGGGTTTGGGAGCTAGTCTGGGAATCCGACCTCTTTCTTAAATATCTATATCTAAATCTCTATCTCTGTCTCTACCTCTATTCATATATATAAATTACATGTTACTATATAAACAAATAATACATGTTCAAGGTAAAGGAAAAATTATTTAGTACAGATGAGTATAAACTATAAAATGAGTTCCTCTTTCCCATCCTATCCCAGTCCCCATCCCTAGACTGAAACACCATCCACGGCTTCTTGGGCGTCCTGGGAGAGATTATTTTAGGCATATTCAAATGGGTATATGAGCTGTTTTAAAAAGTTACATATCATACTCCAGATTCCAAACTAAAGGCAATAAGTTCCTAAGTGAACTTTTGGTCCAGCTCCAATCATAAGCTGAGGCAAGGAAGCGTGCAGAAACCACGGATAAAAGGTCTTATCTACTAGTGGAAAACAGCAAAACTTTGAACAACATGTAGACTTTGGAAGGACGATACTTTGGCTATCTGGGAAGCTCCATGAGACTCCTCACTCCTTGGTGAATGAAGTGTGGCCAAATGGCACCACTGGCTATAACTCTAGGATCAGAGGAATTCTTAGCCCCATCTCTCGAGCTAAGAGCACACTGCAGAAGCTTGTGGGGTGGCTAGCACAGTGCTTGGAGCACAGTGGCCATCACGGATAGCCTGCTGAGGGTGCAGGGGATACAGCGGTGGCCAGGGCTATGCCTGCTGCAGTCTGGGAATGCCTTCCTCCCCTGGCCTACTCTGCTGTCCAGGCAGCAGGCCGGCCTGGACTGCAGGCTCCATTTGGGGCAAAGGCCACAGGGTGGGACCCTGTTGCTGTCTCCAGCCTGCCTTTTATGGGCTGCTCTGACTCTGGGGTCCCCAGGGTCGACACAGCTGCTCGGTCACTGGAGAAGAGGAGGAGATGAGAGTCTTATACAGACACAGCTTCTTCCTCTAAGAAATGCACGAGGAGCTGAATGCCACGTGGGGAGACTGATTTGCAGCTGAAGTATGTTATCAATTACCTTTGCAAGGAAGAGCTGCACCAATTCGACAAAACCAAGTTTGAGCAATAGCCAGAGGCCACTAGGATCTGTCCACAGCCTTCCCAACCCCAGGATCTGTCCACAGCCTTCCCAACCCCGGGCCTTGGAAGGACACCGATTTCAAGCATGAAAGACAGAAAGAAGTGGGCTGAGCCCTCCCTCTGCCTTCCTCTCCTCCCCGGCCTTGCCCTTTGCTCATCTTCTCTGCAGGTAGCCTTCTGTCTCCCGGAGGCTCTCTGCTAGTTAACAGCAGAGCAGCAATGCCCGCCCCCCTTCCCCACCCCCCTTCTCCCTGGGGAGCATGGGCAGGACTGATTTAGGGGGAGAGAGCGCGGGCCGTGGCTGCCTGAGCACAGCACGATTCTCTTCTGTTATACAGTCTCTTATCTGTGTCCTCTTAGGACAGGCCAACCAAGGACAAATGTATGCCCACCCGTAAGGTTTCACCAGAAAGAAACTGGCACTTAATTGGTCACAGCATTAGCTCCCGGGCCGAACTGGCGCAAAGGCCATCTCCCCTCCTCCTAGGGTTTAATATTTGTACATATATTTAGTATATATGTATATAAACATACATAGTTGCCTTATTTCCCTTAAACAAAAATCAAAACTTCGGACAACTGTTCTAAAAAAGGCGTTCTATAACTTCCAAAAGAAAGAAATGGGCTCTACAAGAAAAGCAACTATCTCACACCTGGAAAAAAGTCATCATCCTCAGCAGAAACAATACAAACCAAGAGATGAGATGCTGCTAAGTCTGCCAGGAAGCCAAGGATTCATTTTCTAAAAATGCTAAATATGTTCTCCGAAAAATCCAAATACCAATGCAGTAGGTGCTACTAACAAAAGCAAGGTGTTTCACAAAATGCATAAGCCAATTGTATTCGTCCAGCCCGCTAGGGTTCCTATTACTAAGTATGGAACAGAGATGAAGATTTCAAAGACTCCTCACTCAACATCATATCAAAGGAGATAAACTCCGGCTGAGCCAAGAA